ATTAATATTTAGTTAATATTTTAAATTTCTTAACTCTCATTTTCAATACACAAAAATGTTTATTAGCAAATAGCAAAATCACTGCAGTAATACATCGGGTGGGAAAACAGCAATTACCACGATACAGTACTGTGGTATATTCGCTCTGTTTTTTATCTTTTGTTTTATATATTTATATTCGCTTGGAAAATGCAGAAAAGCCTGATTGTTTCCGGGTTGCTGCTAATCACGTGAGCTGCACGTGACTCCGCCGCGTGACGTTCCGCAAATAAAACAGGAAACACCGGAGCTTGTGTGATTCTCAGACAAGTGTGTGTTTCTTTCCTGCTTACAAATTAAAAAGTGCAAATAAAGACATGGACGAGGATGGACTGCCAATCGTGGGATCGGGAATTGACCTGACAAAGGTTTGTGTTGTGTAGGTCAAAGGTGCATGTGTTCTACGAAACAAAATGTGTCGGTGCCTGACAAAATGATTTGTCTATCACTTTGCGGTAACGTTTTTGCTGTAAAAGGACGTTTTTAGGGTGCAGTTGGAATAAGAAAATAATATGAAATTCGCAGTGTAGTGTAAGACAATTCGATGCAGTATTTTACTAAATGTGCACACTCGACGAAGGCATATACTAAAAAAAACTACTACTAAAAAAGAAAGACTGATAAGACGTTGTTGTTTCGTGCTGCAGGTTCCAGCCATTCAGCAGAAGAGAATCGTTGCGTTTCTCAACCAGTTTATTGTACACACGGTTCGGTTTCTCAACCGGTTCTCCACGGTGTGCGAGGAGGTAAGTGCTGCTCCGCTTGTGTTAGTTGTGTCGCTGGCTTCACGCTGCTCCGATGTGTTGTGCCTGTGTAAGATTGCACGGCTAAGACCACTTGCTCTGCCTGTCTGACACTGAAATATGTTACCCCGACATCCTAGCCAAGTTTCCTCCTAATAATCCCCATCTCTAAACTGGCTCCATCACTCTGCTCTCCTCCCCACTGAGAGCTGGTGTGTGGGGAGTGTACTGGTGCACTCTGCTCTCCTCCCCACTGAGAGCTGGTGTGTGGGGAGTGGACTGGTGCATCATCCAGTTGGGGCTGCACACTGGTGGTGGAGGGGATCCCCATTACCTGTAAAGAGCTTTGAGTGGAGTGTCCAGAAAAGCGCTATAGAAGTGTAACCAATTATTATTCTTCAGCTGGAGACCGGGACTCACACAATGAGAATGAGAATTCTCATGTGCAGCACTGTGTGTGGAACTCGCAACCCAAATCCATCAGAAACTTTGCTCCTCTTTTCATTATTTGCTTCTGTTGTGTATGTGTGCACTACTGCACAGCGCATTGAGTTTCTTGAAAAGTGCTGATAAAATTATAGTAATAATCTCATTAGCTGTTTTAATCCACAGATAGTTAAGAGAAAGATGATTTTTGTCATTTGGTCTCTCTTTAGGGTATATTTTGAAAAATAAGGAGGTACCTACATCTACCATTTCCACTTCCCTGACAGTTTTTTCAACACTTCATTCAGTATGGT